GGTTGAGACACTACACTACAAGACGGAAGATCGCGGATTCAATTCCCGATTAGATCATTAGAGTTTTCAATTGACGTAATCCTTCCAGTCGCACTATGGCCATAGGTTAAACTCAGCTCTAACAGCAATGAGTACCAGCAGCTGCCCGGCGCGTAAGGCTGACAAGCCCACCGCCATTTTTGAGCTGATTGTCTAGAAAATGTGGGATCCTCAACGTCTCACAAGTGAACTCGCAGCTGAATGCTAACACACAACGACAGGACATAAAAGAGTAGGTTTATGTAGGCCTGTAGGCGTATAAGCACTTGAAAAGAATGCACCTGCTTTGCAGCCTAAAACAAAACACCTTAAATTTCGTCGTGGCTCATAGAAATCAGGAAGAAGAGAGGGTGAAGACTTCTTCGCCTGTACTGGCATTCAATAATCTCTGCTAGCAGACAGACCCTTTGATATTCCACGTCGAACAGCTTCTTTTGCACTATAATCCTTCACATCTTTCATTCATATTCTTTGTCCCTTTTTACCTTTATCTCTATCCCTTCTTTCCCCATTAAAACGGTAAATTGATTTACAGCGTTACCCTTCGGATGACACCTGTGTAGAAACATGAAAGGACAAGACATCCTCCTTGTGCGTCCGTTTTGTACTGCCTGTATTAAGTTATCCCTGTAACAGGCCCTGGAGGCCCTTAGGGTTGTGAGACGTCGAGGCTCCCACATTTTGTAGACAATCGGCTCACAGATGGCGGTGAGGTTAAGTAAAGCTGTCCCTGTAACAGTCCGTGAAGGCCCATAGGGTTGTGAGACATCGAGGGTCCCACATTTTCTAGACAATCGGCTCACAGATGGCGGTGGGCTTGTCAGCCTTAAGCACAGGCCGCTTTTTATCCCCAGGAAGTTTCCTGGTACTCATTTCTGTTAGAGACTGAGTCGACCCCAGGGACATAGTGCGGTTGGAAGGATTAGGTCAATTAAAACATGAAATGACCTCATCGAGAATTGAACCCGCGACCTTCCGGCTTGTAGCATAGTGCATCAACGAACAACGCTACTGCGTGCCCCTTGCGGTTTGTACAAAGAATTTACAAAGTCCTACGTAGGTCGCCGCTACGACCCGTGTCACATGCCGGCGAGATGATTATAGACCTTACTGATGATAATGGTGATATTCCTGCCCACATGCTCACATAGTCCACAGATTTTGTCCTTTCATCCCACATCTCCTGCTTATTGCTGGATGGAATAGACTTACAGTTCTTTCCAGTTAAACAGATTCTTCCTCTCTTATAAGAAAGCCCGAACTCGGCAGAGTTGTGTAATTGCTACATCAGGGAACTTGGGTCTGCAGTTCAACTAGTGCAATACTGAGAATGCGGCGGGAAGTCTCACCATTTGTTGTATAAGCTTGTGTGCTATCAACTTCTCCTTCTTTAAAGCGAACAACAGCGCCACAGTATGCGAACAACACTATAGGATGCAAACACCAGTGCAGTATAAGAACAACACTATAGTATGCGACTAGCAGCACTATAATATGGTAACAACAGCGCCACAGTACGCGAACAACAACACTATAGTATGCGAACAACACTATAGGATGCAAACACCAGTGCAGTATAAGGACAACACTATATTATGCGACTAACAGCACTATAATATGGTAACAACAGCGCCACAGTATGCGAACAACACTATAGGATGCAAACACCAGTGTAGTATAAGAACAACACTATATTATGCGACTAGCAGCACTATAATATGGTAACAACAGCGCCACAGTATGCGAACAACAACACTATAACATGCGAACAACACTATAGGATGCAAACACCAGTATAGTATGAGAACAACACTATATTATGCGACTAACAGCACTATAGTATGAGAACAACAACACTATAGTATGCGAACAACACTATAGGATGCAAACACCGGTGTAGTATAAGAACAACACTATATTATGCGACTAACAGCACTATAATATGTGAACAACAGCGCCACAGTATGAGAACAACAACACTATAACATGCGAACAACACTATAGGATGCAAACACCAGTATAGTATGAGAACAACACTATATTATGCGAACAACAAAAGTATAGTATGCGAACAACAACACTATAGTATGCGAACAACGCTATAGGATGCAAACACCAGTGCAGTATAAGAACAACACTATATTATGCGTCTAACAGCACTATAGTATGCGAACAACACTACAGTATGCGAACGAACAACAACACTATAGTATACGAACAACAATGTACATAGTATGCGAGCAACAACACTATAGTATGTCTCCTGAAGACGGAAACAGAATCCGGTCTCCGAAAGGTTTTGTTTTGAAAATTAACAGGACGGTGCTTTTAGATAAAGACAGAACGATGGATAATGTCCAAAATCACAACATTTGTACTAACCTAGAATTAATTCTACACATATTCCAAGAATGAAACTGAAGGAAACGGTCAGCACACAGTGTGACGCTAAAGTACATTATTACTTTCAAGAAGGTAAAATTTGCTCTTATAACTTCAAGTTAACGCTGACCCTGTGTCGAGCAACTCCTTCCCGATCCCCCCTCAAGTTTCTTACCGACCACGCTGGCACACCAGTAATAAATCTCAACTAAGAAAGCAGTTAACCTGAGCCGAAATTTTCGTGAATTTCTGAGTTCCTTCAGGCAAAAACGTCGTCATAGATTTTCGGTTAGGTCACGACCACTTCCTGTCAAATCCTTCCCAATTTATTATTCACCACCACTTCGCTATATATTCCCCAGAGAGTGACCACAGATCTCATGAACGGTACCTGGAAGAAGCCTAGCAACCTTCTAACTAACTGATGTCCTCTCTTCCCCGTTGCTTGTCTCTGGATTTTTATCGACGTTCTCAGTATGTGAACCATTTGTTCAGTGGTCGGAAAAAAACACTGTAAACTTAGGTTAGCAGGAATTTGAACTTAGCACCTCCCACATGCAAGTCAAGAGCTTTGTCACTAGACAAACCTCCCCTCGTCTCCACATTTAATCCTACTCTCCCTTTCGACGTCTTCTTCAGTCGGTCCCTCTCTCCCCATGCTACAGAGGCTAATTTAACAATACTAAGTAGCATTCGGTCGATCAGGGTGGCCGCGCGGTCTAACGTATGAAGATTCTTCGCTCGCTCGCTCGAACGCTGGGATCGTGGGTTCGAATCCAACTCAAGGCATGGATTCTGTGTTTGTGATGTTCTGTGTGTAGGTAGCGACCTTGCGACGGGCTGTTCCCCCGTCCAAGGAGTTCTTCCGACTGTGCATATGATTATGAAAGTGAAAAAGCGGCCAAGGTCCAACAGAAGGACTGCAGAGCCATGGCTGGATAAATAGATAGATAAATATAAATTAATCGCCGCTAATATGACTCCAAGGTTAAAATTTCATATGTCTGTCACATTATTATTATTATTATTATTATTATTATTATTATTAATAAAAGGTAAAGCTATCCCTGTAACAGGCCGTGTAGGCCCATAGGGTTGTGAGACGTTGAGGATCCCACATTTTCTAGGCAATCGGCTCACAGATGGCGGTGAGGTTAAGTAAAGCTATCCCTGTAACAGGTCGTGGAGGCCCATAGGGTTGTGAGACGTCGAGGCCCCCACATTTTCTAGTCAGTCGGCTCACAGATGGCGGTGAGTTTAAGTGAAGTTATGCCTGTAACAGGCCGTGGAGGCACACAGGTTTATGAAAGTCGAGGCTCCCACATTTTCTAGACAGACGGCTGACAGGTGGCGGTGAGTTTAAGTAAAGCTATGCCTGTAACAGACCGTGGAGGCACACAGGTTTATGAAAGTCGAGGCTCCCACATTTTCTAGACAGACGGCTCACAGGTGGCGGTAAGTTTAAGTAAAGCTATCCCTGTAATAGCCGTGTAGGCCCATGGGATTGTGAGACGCCGAGGGTCCCACATTTTCTAGACAGACGGCTCACAGGTGGCGGTGAATTTAAGTAAAGCTATCCCTGTAACAGGCCGTGGAGGCCCACAGGGTTGTGACACGTCGAGGCTCCCACATTTTTTAGACAGTCGGCTCACAGATGGCGGTGAGGTTAAGTAAAGCTATCCCTGTAACAGACCGTGTAGGCCCATGGGATTGTGAGACGTCGAGGCCCCCACATTTTCTCTAGAAAATCGGCCCACAGATGGCGGTGAGGTTGTCAGCCTTACGCACAGGCCGCCCTTTACCCCCAGAAAGATACTTGGTACTCATTTCTGTTAGAGGCTGAGTCGATCCCAGGTCTTCAGTACTACTGGAAGCATTAGGTAAATTAAAAAAAATCCACATCATCGGGACTCGAAAACGCGACCTTCCGGCTTGTAGCATAAAATTCTAAAATAGGAGGTTGTGGTGGCTTCCAATGGCTTGCTCATAGTAATTTACAAGTAAGCAAAAAACGGTCCACTGGTTCAGTACCTGGAATCAGAAACATGTCGGTAAATCTTATTTCCGTAAAAAAGCAATAGGGTTAAAGGTACTGTCTTCTGGCGTGTGGTGCCTTGTAGTCTGGCAGGAGGTTACCGATGTTTCGGACGAAAGTGCTGTCTCCATCTTCAGGTTTGAATAATAAAGTCAAGCAAACAACTAGGACAGCAAGTAGATACTGTTCGGCCCGAAGATGGAAGCAGCGCCTCTTCGATACATCAATAGACTCAGGGTGGTGTAACGGTAAAGCTTTGGATTTACATCTGGGAGGTGCTGTATAGTCGTAAAATGATCCAACACAGACACAGGGCTTCTCTTGTCAGAAGGCCGTAATACTGAAGCAAATGTAAAATTTATGAGAGTATTTTGCTGTTCCATTAAACACGAACGTTCAAACCCTGGTTCGTAACGTTGACCATGTTGACAGTCTGTACATCCTTAGATCAGTCTTGAATTAAAGTATCGGATATGATGTAGTGACGGGCGAGTTCAAATGATGGCGCCTCTGGTGGCGTGCTGAGGAACCTTCTGAATGCTCCGATCTTCTTCTGTAATTGGTCTGCAGTCCCGGTTATTCAGTTATTTCGTGGCTGTGGGCCTGGTAGGAAGTGTATATAGATTTGGCTGCTTATATTTACCAGTTGTGGATGATCCGTGGGATCTGTTCGAGTGCCTATTGTGTTCTTGTAATATCGGCGAAGATGGTGTGTGAGGTTATACTGATTTTGACTGTTCAAGCGCCCGATATTCAGGAAAGCAAGTAGCCCATACGTATAAGGAAACATAAAATGAAGATTTAACTGCGGTTAAGAATGAAGTAAAAACGAGTTTCAACACAGTGCTAGATTATATTATGTCACTAGGTTATATTAATTCGCCATTTTATTTGTGTTGTGTGCTGTGTAATGGGTAAGAAGCATTTTCACATGTGAATTGGTGTGTAAGTGGAATGAGATAGTGGTGATGAAGTATCTAATATTATCACTACATTCACTTAATTGAAATCAGAATAATAGGATGACAGGTATCTATTTGAACCAGTTGTATAAATTCAGCCTGGTGTTTTAGGTTATATTAGCCATAATCATTTAATGAGTGGCTTATAATGGCATATACAAGTTGACGGTAGGCAGTGTATATCTGTTCATGAAGGGACCAAAATATTTATTACAACAAAACAAATTTATAACTCTGTTTTGATATGATATTTCCCATGAAGCTGTAACGATTTGCCCCTTCAGCGGCAATCGGAGACCATCAGTTGGTTTTGTATCTGTTTCTTGTGACCTCCCTTGTGTATGAAGTACCTATAGTGGCTTCCAAATGCCCCTACATAGCAGACGACACGGCAGAACCCTGGAAGACGCAGTTGTTGCCTTTCATGTACATGTTCAGGACCAAACGGAACACTTTAGTTAAACGCCTGTGGAAGGCACGTGTTGCGAAGAAACAGTATGAAGCCTCAGGTGAAACAGAAACTCTTGTATCGTCTTCCCCACCTTCATATTGCTGGTGCTGTTGCGGCAACAGACACACAAGTTCCTGTTCAGAACAGCAGCAACAACAGTGTTATAGTGCTGAAATGGTTCGAAGCGATTTGCTGAAACGGTTCAAAGAGAACCAATTAGAAATGTTACTAGCGGCCATAGAGAGCAGGGGCGCGGATCTCTCTGCGTGCGTTCTGTTGCCCCGTGATCAGCCTCCGATGTTGGACCCCCGTTTGCTGTGTTGCCAGCTTTGGCGGTGGCCAGATCTCAGGCAGGCCGCCGAACTCAAGCGTTTACCTGTCTGCAGATCTTCCAAAGATACCGTGTACATTTGTTGCAATCCCTACCATTGGAGCAGGCTGTGCAAACCCGGTAAGTTGTAATTGTTTACGTCTCAGGCGTACATTGTATTATTTATTATTGCTATGGGTTATGGCGCATGGTACTTACATGGCGAGTCGGCCTATTTTACGAGCCCCTGATGACGTGAGAAACGGGGACATTGGCAGAACTATAAAGGGCAGGGGAAACCCGAAGTACCCGGAGAAAAAGCTCGTCCTCAGGGCTGCTTTGGCGAACAGACTACACCAATCAGCGTATCGTTGCTTCACGGTCCGCCGGTTTGTGTAAATTCAACACAAGTCACCTCGGGGAGCTGGGTTAGTTCATTAAGCTACGGGCTGGAATAGACGGGAATCCGGTTGGGTTTCTTACCTCCACGGCTCAGCGACCAACAGAAACAAGGGGTCACGGGATAGGGGCTGTTTCTCCGGAGTGCAAAATGACTGGGGCATCAAGCTGACCACTGAACCTCAATCAAAGTTGAGGTTAAGAATGCACGGAGCTATACTTCCACCGAAATTTGTGTAAGGTTACGTTGTTGAATGATTATGTGAGGGGAACCCAGTAAAATTGTTTTACTGCGCTTGACAGCGGAGGTAGGACTTTGTTCCAAATGAAACAGTATTGCAGTATTCCAACTCATGGGTGAAGACCCCTTAAAACGGATAAAAGGAATCTGGATTCCGGTCGTAAAGTTAAGTAAAGTAAAAATAGTTGAGACACAAAAACACGAGAACGTAAAACAAAACAAAAGAAGGTATTAAAACTCTTCATCGTATTTCGTACATTAAACTTCGAAGCTTCTTGCATTTGTTGCAGTCTCCCTGATTGGCTGTATTCTTCCACCTTATTTTTGGTCTTCCAGGTTCCTTTTTCTGTTTGGAAATGGAATCTCTTACTTTTCTCAGTATCTTATTACCCTTCATTCCATCAGTGTTTTCATTTAATAGCTGTTCTGTCATTTGTTTAATCACAGTCTTGCCAATTCAGGGTCAACCGACGTTTCGGAGGAACATATCGCTTCCATTTTCAGGGCCCGTAGAATAAGCGAAAGAAACGAGCGTCAACAAGGGAACGTCGGTTAATTTCCGACGAACTGCAAGGCGCTATATCCCAGAATATAGAACTGTTCGTAACCAGTGGTGAGATGATCCTAAATGATTTCTGCGTGATATTTCGTAATGCTTTTATCCTCCTGGCGTCGTTGATTTGCTACGTTCTGTGTCTGAGCTCTGTTGTCGCACCCGCGTCACAGTGAGCCTCACGGCTGCCTCATATGTTCTTGTTTTGGTCGTCGTACGAGCATGTAGTACAGTCGTAACTTCGTTGTAGCGAGGACTTGGCCCATAGCAAAATACCGAGCGGCAGTAATTAATTAAAAAGACACGGGGAACTACCGTATTTACGCATGTATAGGCCGCACATTTTTTTGCCAAAAATTCAAGAGGAAACCTGGGGTGCGGCTTATATTCGAAATATTCGAAATCACACCACATTTAAAAAAAATTATATTCATAATTAGTAATACAGGGTGTAATACTCCTGAAATAATATTCCAAGAAAATTATTTTTTCTATAATTTCTGTCTGAAAATTGTGCTGCGGCCTATACATGCGTAAATACGGTATGCTGCAAACCGAAAGGGCGCGGGTTACGTTCCCGATGATTTCACTGGATTTCTTTCAATTGACCGAAAACTTCCAGGCGGAATATGTCCCCGGGTTCGACTCAATCACTTCACCGCCATCTGTGAGCCGATTGTGTATAAAATGTGGGAGCCTCGATGTGTCACAACCCTATGTACTTCCACGGCTTTTTTTTTTTGTAGTTTAGAAGTACATACCAATCGTCTCTATAACGACGCCGGACACCCAGACCACACCCAATTTCTTTCCACGGACAGCGAAAAATTTAACGGGACTGCCTTTAACCCCCCGTGTCTACGCCCCTTTTTAAACAGTACCAAGTGTCCTCAGTAAATGTATGCAAAAATCAGCTTCGGGAGCAAAAAGCCTACCGACATTTGTACAGACCTTCAAAATTACCCTTTTTGTACATAACTGTTAAGATTTGTACGCGTAAAGCGAACTTCAGTGCCGTACGAAGTGATCATATATATATATATATATATATATATATATATATATATATTTATTCGTGCTACAGAACGTAATTCCTGAACACTACACGTTACGAAGCAGCATAAGGAAATTGTGATGCCCTTAATATTTTCTGACACAGGGTGATAGCGATGTGTAACTCTTAACGGTAGAATTTTTGGATGTGATTCGAATGCACGTTCCCAGTTTTTATTGTCATTCCTTGCCCAGACCGGCCCTGGGGCCCACCCAGCCTAGTGTCCATTGAATACTGGGGGGATCTTTCCCCATGAGTAAAGCGGCCGAGGTATGAAACAGACCACCCACCTCCATTTAGTGCCGAGGTAAGGAAAACGTGGATCATACCTCCACGTCTCCCCCAAGGCTTCATTGCATAGCGCTTAATCGGTTAAGCACAGTGACAGCTTCGCGTGAGTAAACTCCAGTTTCTTTTCTCACGTCAGTGGACAGTAACGCCGTGTAGTTGGGACATAACTCGACGTTTCGGAGAACATTTCGCCTCCATAATCATGGTCGAGGAGAGTAAGCCAAGCAAGAAGTTCTGAATGTTATTCGTCCTTTAACGTTTTAGCGGTATTTACTCGTATATGTTATATACCATGTGACTGAAATAAAAAGTTCATGCCTTGCTGGCTGTCGTGTCTGTTGTCAACTGTGGAGGATTGTAAAAATCAAGGCCCAAGTTCCAGCTTTGTTTCTAGCAAGTCCACGAGGTTAAGCTTGTGATTTTGTTTAAAAATGATAAATCGCAGAACGTTTTGAGGTTAGGCTTCGGAAAGGAACCGAAGTACCGCTATAGCTACTACCGCGGTGTTGTGTAATGAAAAAGAAATGAACCATATCCGAATAGTGAACATCTGAGCCGTGACGCCGTTTAGGGAATTGGCCCGACGGTTCGGAGGAACACACTGTGGTGTGTTGACCCGTTGCTAAGCGCCCATCCCGTAAACAGAGACTGTTTCTGGGCAGCGACTCTGTAGACACGAACCCCGTGGCAACGAATACGCACTGAACAATAGAGTTACTGTTGGAAACGGTGTTTGTGCGTGGTGCGCAAAATGAAAATAGTTGTAAACCGCATAAACGCAGGTTTATATCCCCAATCCCACCCCGGGAAATATTCGTGTGGCACCCATGTTGCTGCCGTGTTGTCTGGTAGATCATTTAGGTCCGACCGAGTGGTTCATGACCCAACGGTGTTGGAGTCTCGAAGACTGCAAACGTTAGAAAGTTTGTGCGACTTCCGCGCGATATGGTGGCCCAAGATTTCAGAATTACGCTGTGCGAATGCGAGAGAGAGAGAGAGAGAGAGAGAGAGAGCCTATTGAGGAATTCTATCGGCTCTACCATGGGGGTCTGTGTTTACAGTTAGGGGCACGCGGTGGCGTAGTTGGTTGATGCATTATGCTACATACCAGAACGTCGCGGTTTCGAGTCCCAATGAGGTGGATTTTGTTTTTCAGTTTACCTAATCCTTCCAGCCGCCCTGGGAGCCGGGATAGCGCAGTCGGTATAGCGATTGGCAACGGACTGGACAACCGAGGGGTCGGAGTTCGAGTCCCGGTGGGGTGCAAACATTTTCACTTCCCCACATCGTCCAGACTGGTTCTGGGGCTTACCCAGCTTCCTATCCAATGGGTACGGGGGTAAAGCGGCAAGGGCGTGAAGCTCACCGCGCACTTCCAACTAGTGCTGAGGTCAAGACAATGTGCATCTAGACATCAGCTCCCCCATACGCCTTCATGGTGCAGTGCTTAATTAGTTAAGTGCAGCGACAATACCTTGGACCCAGCCTCTAACAAATGAGCATAGTAACGGTGTGTGGCACGAACATCACTAGAATGGAAAGCATTAAAATACATTTTTTGAAATTTTCGGCTATGTTCATATATTGCCAATCCAAACCTGTTTCTCCCCCGAACTGCGTAAAGTTGTCACAAACCGATAGGAGCCGGCGACTAACCGCTTGAGATAGGCACTAGAGTTGAAGGACTGAAAGTGTGTAAATTAGCAAAGGAAGCTTAAGGAATTATGTCCAGAAATGTTCGGCTTTTTGGATTTTTTCCCATCTTCCGGTATTCTAGAAGAATAGAAAATTCGACGTTTCGGAAACCGGATCTGTTTCCGTCCTCAGGTGAAGGAGGGAGAAGAAGCCTACTCAGTTGGGCCCCATGGAAAGCTGTAATCTCAGTGACTGGACCTAGCATAGCTCTTTCGAAGGGGCCCATTTGAGTAGATGTCTTCACCGTCCTTCACCTGAGGACGAAAACAGATCCAGTTTCCGAAACGCTGTCTTCTCTAGTCTCTAGAATACCTGAAGATGGAAAAAAGCCCCCAAACTCAGTAATTCTGTGTGTTATATATCAACATCAGAACCCTTTAGAATCTACCAGAAATGTTTGTTCAGTTTGGCGCAGAGAAAGAAGGCAGACGTCATATTATGCATCTATTCAGTCCGGGTTCGAGGCTACAGTCTTGGGTCAATATTTTTTTTATTGCTAGTGGGGTGGGACTAAGTCTCTTGCACTGCGGCCACTTCTGGCCTATTGTACCAGCCCCAGACGATAGGCGAGGGTGATTGTGGAGCAATTGGTGGAATGAAGATTGGCAGGGGAAACCGAAGTACTCTGAGAAATCCTGCCCCAGCGCCACTTTGTCCACCAGAAATCCCACTTGACCAGACCCGGGATCGAACGCGGGCCGCCGCGATGGGAAGCCAGCGACTAACCGCTTGAGCTATGGCGCGGCCTTTGGGTCAGTATTTAATCGGGAGTGACAGACATATAATCTCCGTGTTCAGCCAGCCCGTGGTAACCTTGTGCTAGAAAAGTGCGCCATGAAACGGTCAAGTGCAATGTTGTATCAGTATTGCTCATCTGGAGAGGTTAACCGTGTCTAGGCGCCAACCTG